GGTGATCATGCAGGCGACGCAAGATTCCGCCGTTTCTCGTTTGAGAGTATTTGGATTATTTGTTGTCCATTCTTATGACTTTTTAGCAATAGTTCAACAAAAACAAAATGACTGTCGTCATTTCATCAGCCTCATGCACACAAGCTCAAAAATACATGTTCATATTTGTTCCTGGTGGACACATCAGACTGATATCAGACTCTTGTTTGTTTTGTGACTCACTGGGTCTGAATATGAATAAGCGCAAATGAGATGTGAGAGTTACAAGAGCAAGGGGTTCCTTACAAGGTGCAAGTTAAATTAACTACATTTATAATGCTTTTTTCCCACTTTATCCTCCCTGATAACTCAGTTTTATTTAATGGTATATTTACATTTTTTTAGTATATTGTTTATTTATTTATATTTATCAAAAAAAATTTTATTCAATTTTTTATGTGTTATATTTTAGTTTGTTTTAATTTTATTAATACATTATAAAATGCATTATAAAATATCTTGAAAGGACATTTTTATGTCCGCATCATTAAATCATAATTGGCATTCAAACCATTTTCCAAAATTCAAATTTATTTATTTATGAATGGATGAATGAATGAGTTAGTTAGTTTTTTTAAAAGTATTTTCAATGTCATAGTTTGAAAATGTACTGATATTTTCCATGACTGGGAAAACCTGAAAATATCAGTACATTTTAAAACATGACATTCAGACCCGGAAATCTTAGAAAATCGTATAAAAATTATGTACTATATGCAAAAATATGAACACATCTGTTTTCAGTGTTGATAATAATCAGGACTGAAGCCTGGAGTAATGATGCTGAAATTTCAGCTTTGCATCAGAAATAAATTATGTTTTAAAATATCTTAAAATAGAAAACAGTTATTTTAAATTGTAATAATATTTCACATTATTACTGTTTTTACTGTATTTTTAATGAGATAAATGCAGCCTTGGTGAGCAAAAGAGCCTTCTTTAAAAAAAAAAACCATCTTACTAACCTCAAAACTTGTGAACAGTATTATATGTCGTACTGTCATGCATTTGTATTTGCTATTAAAACAAATCATCACCAACTAACATTTAACTATTTTACAGCATTTATTTCTCCTTGTTCATTTCAGCATTTATTAATGCATTTATTAATACTTTTGTAAAATCAAATGATTTGTTAACATTACTTAATGCACTTGAACAATTTGATTAACTAACATTAATACAGATAAACAAATGCTGTAAAATCATATTACTCATTGTTAGTTCATGTCAATGTAATGACAACTCAATGTTAAACTCAAGCTCGGCTCTTGTGTGGTGGGGTTTTTCAGGACACACACACACACACACACACACACACACACACACACACACACACACTGATGTTCTAATAAGTTGTAATTTCTGCAGGAGAGCCCAGAGAGATTTCCATCTGTTCAGTGAACACGAGTCACTCTCCACCATGGCTTTTAGCCCTGTCTTACTTATGCAAATATCTTTTGCCTTGAAATCTATTTGGAGTTGCTTGAAGGGGTCCAGAATGTTGTCCTGCTGTCTCTCACACACACACACACACACACACACACACACGCTCCTGCTGTCTGGCCCAGCAGCCTGCCCCGCGCCGCCTCTCGTCCGTCATGTGGAAAACTTTTTACCAGCACATACACGCAGACACATGCCCAGAGTAACCCCCACTCCCTCTGTCTGTCTGTCTCTCATCCTCAGAAGACACGCATGTTTACTACATAATGCGTATAAAATACAATAACCTGTATACTACACATGTGTATTCTGGCATGCTTTTTCAAATTTAAATAAAAAATGCAATAATGATTGGCTTTCATTAATATTTTATAAATTAATATGCACAATTTGTCAGCTTTAATACTTTAAAGCAGAGATTCTCAAACTTTTGTGTCAGTCAAACCCCTCTGACGTCCTTCCTGAGATTTTAAGTTATTATGTCAGTAATTTAACATTATTATTGGTTATTATTATTATTATCATTATTATTCATTGGTTAATGGTCACATGACATCCAGGTAAATAAATAAAATATGCAAGTTTAAAAAAAAAAAAATTTAGATTTATAATTGATACTGATACTGTTATTGAACAGAATTGACACTGTTGACTTCTATAAATGAATACATTTCTTCTTTACAGCAGAATTTAATATATTTCATAATTGATGAATTTGGCAACATATTGACACTTATTGAACTTAATTTTTGTGTGTAAAGCTGTTATATTAGGATCATCTAGATTTTTATTATTAATATTATGAATTTATATATATATAATTTCCAATTATTTTAGTACTGTTTTAGTATCAAGTTAAACTAAATGAAAGTGAGCAATGTTGCCTTAGACTGTTAAGACTTTAAACAAAAAATGAAATATAAAAGTTCATTTTATTTCAAGTTTTTGTGGTTTTAGTATTAATTAACTATAATAACCCTTTATGATTTCATTATTAGCTTTGCACCACCTCACAAACCCCAGAGATTTGCTTTACTTTTTGACCTTGACGTTGTTCCAAACCCTTATTTTGTTTGTTTGTTTGTTTGAAAAATGTTTTCAAGACTGTCCAAACTGCTCTTTCTAAAACACATTACATTACAGAAGTAAAACTGCTTGCTAACTGGTTTAAATGACATTTGTGGAAGTATGGCTTCATATCTCTGTATATGTAATCTGTATAAGTATGACTTCTGTATGTATGTCTGTCTCTATTCATAAGTATGGCTTCTACATCCCAAGTCCTATTATTATAAAGAGCCCTCTGGATATTCTGCAGTATTCCTTCCTTTGTCTTCCACAGAATGAAATAGCATAGAGATGAGTAGGTTCTTCCTCTATCTAGAGTGTTGTGATGTTACATGTGATTCCTCACAGCTACATCACTGTCTGGAGGTGAAGCGCTCCAGAAACACTTCACTCTGAGCATCACACGATCAGCGGCCTTCTTCAGTGGGGTAAGATGTGCCAGTGTGGAAACTCTCTCACTCTCTTAATCTGTGCTCAGTTTTATACATACAGCTATCTGTGAATGAGAGTTACACTTGACAAAAAGTAATGACGTTTTGCATGCAATAGCATTTTTTACATGGCGGGTAATATGAATTTTAGGTCAAAGCAAATGAAGATTTTGGAATAGGATTGTGCATTAATATATTGTGGGCTTTTTCTCATATATATTAATATTTTTATTTAAAATGTATATCATTTACATATTCCCCAATGATTCAACTTATGTCATGATATCCACCTTATTTTGTAATGCGGAAGTGAGATATTTTTCTGTGAACATGTGAGACATCCAATTCATATGGCAAAAAATTCTAAATATTTTCAAATATATATTTTTAAGTATATTTCAAAATATACAAAAAAGCAAAAAAATATATTTGCTAAAAACATGTTTCAAAATATATTTGTGTAAATATATTTCCTACCAATATATTTTTGTATTTTTTTAAAATATATTTAAAAAAATGATTAAAAAAAAAACGTTTCTTAAAATATATTTTGCACTCAATATATTTCAATCCAAGAAAATATGTTCACATATGTCCCATTTAAAGAAAAAACGTATTTAACTTAAGTTTATAATAACTTTATATTTATATTTATATGTTTATTTAATAACTTATTTTAACTTATTTTTATTTGTTGTCTACGTGAACATATAACGCATTTGAATAAAAATAATAATGAATAAATCCTAAATGTAGACCTAAGCTATGATTGGAAATGTATCTTCTTGTCGCTGAAAAAAAAATTTGCCATAGTTCTGTAGCTAATGTGTAATGAATGGAAATAACATCTCGGTATCTAATCAATCATGTTTCAACACATCATTATTTAAACTCTGGTGACAGACATACAAAATAAAGCAGATCTCAACAAAGTTTTGCCCCTTTGTGTCCTGCATATTAAATACTGACATTATTAAAGTTCTCATATTTAAAAAATGTACAGTCGACCATATCAAGAAGTAAGAATGTGTAATTGTAATTGGAATGTGCAGGCTTCCGGTTTCATTCACCTCGTTATTTTACCTGTGCAAAAACAGCCCATTATGCTGCTTGATATTGCAGACTATATAGCCTAGGCCTACTTGTTATTTTTGCTATTTGTGATATATTACTTAATACACTTTGTTATAGCTACTTCGTTATTTACCTATATAGCTAATGAATCCGAAAATAGCTTACTTCCTCGTTTAAAATTAAGATGGATGCAGTCCTATTAATTATTAAATAGCTGTTATTGAATGGGTTACACGTGATTCAGAACTGGTGTGGTGCCACATGGAGAAAGTGCAGGAAAAACAAACATCGACAAATATATCATTTATTACATCACCGTTTTTAAATACAGACACATTGTTACATCTACATTTAATTTAAGTTCTTAGCAGATATCTTAGTTACTAAATCGAATGATAAAATTGAGTAAGTGTCAGTTATTTGAGCAAAGATTATTACATCACCGGTTTTAAATACAGACACATTGTTACATCTACATTTAATTTAAGTTCTTAGCAGATATCTTAGTTACTAAATCGAATGATAAAATTGAGTGTCAGTTATTTGAGCAGGTAAAGATTAGTCTAATGAAAACTGTTACTGTGACATAAATAGGCTATTACTGTTAGTACAGTACGCTTAAATTAACCATGGTTTTATTGTAGTAAAAGTGTAGTAACCATGTTTTTTTTTTTTTGGCGAATTGATTAGCCTACCATTTGTATAACCACAGTTTTACTACAAATACCATGGTTAAACTATGGTTAGTGTAGTGAAACCATGGTTAATTTGTAGTTACCACTCTAAGGTTTAACTGTAGTAACCATGGTTTTCTGGTTTTATTTGTAGTAAACCCATGGTTCATTTTTGTAAGGGATATTAAACTTCTAGGTTTAATATTTGAGTTACGACTGATCAATCTATTAGTTCACTTTTAAATAAGATTCATCAGCCATCGATTAT